AAAATATTTGCTCTCTACACATCCGATAAAGGGCTGATAACAAGAATCTATCTAGAACTTAAAAAAATCAACAAGGAAAAATCAAACAACCCCATCAATAAATGGGCTAAGGTAATGAACAGAAACTTCTCAAAAGTAGACAGAATAATTGCCATCAAACATATAAGAAAATGCTCAACATCTCTAATCATTAGAGAAATGCAAATCAAAACCACAGTGAGATATCACCTAACCCCAGTGAGATTGGCCTCTATTAAAAAATCTCAAAACAACAAATGCTGGCAAGATTGTGGAGAGACAGGAACACTCTTACACTGCTGGTGGGACTTCAAATTAGGGCAACCTCTGTGGAAAAGAATTTAGAGATACCTCAAAGAGCTAAAAATAGAAATACCATTCGATCTAGCAATAGCCCTATTTGGCATCTACCCAAAAGAGCAAAACACATTCCATAATAAAGACATCTGCACCCGAATGGTTTTGGCAGCACAATTCACTACTGCAAGGATGTGGAAACAACCCAAGTGTCCGTCAATCCATGAGTGGATTATTAAAATTTGGTTTATTTACACAATGGAATATTACTCAATTATAAGAAATGACAGTGATCTAGCACCTCTTATATTTTCCTGGATTGAACTTGAGCCCATTATCCGAAGTGAGGTATCACGCGATCAGAAGAATGGGCTCCACTTGTACTCACCATCAAATTGGTACTAACTGTTTAATACTATGGTGCTCACATGGCAGTAATATTCTCCAGGGACCAGGGGGATGGGAGGGGGTAAACTCACAACTAAAGGACACGGTGAGCATTGTAGAGGGGAAGGGCATTCCTCCAACCCTCGTTTGGGTGAGACAAAGACATAAAATGTAACCAAAATGTTTGTACCGTCATAATACCCTGAAATAAAAAAAGAAATAAATGTAGACCTACCATTCAATCCAGTAATCCCACTGCTTAATATCTACCCAAAGGAAATGAAGTCATTTTATGAAAAAGACACCTGCACTCAAATGTTTACTGCAGCACAATTCACAGTTTCAAAGATGTGGAATCAACCTCAGTGCCCATCAATTGATGAGTGGATAAGGAAAATGTGGTATATACACACACACACACACGCACACACACACATACCATGGAGTACTACTCAGCCATAAAAAGGAATGAAATACTGTTGTTTGTAGCAACTTGGATGGAACTGGAGACCATTATCCTAAGTGAAGTATCTCAGGAATGGAAAACCAAACACCATATATTCTCACTAATAAGTGAGAGTAATAGATGGGTACACATAGGCACAAAGCAATGTAAAGGACATTGGAAACCAAGAAGGAAGGGAGTGTGAGGTGGGGGGTTTGGGATAAAACTTACAATGAATGCTATTCTGGTGATGGGCATACAAAAAGCCCTATGTTAAGCATTTTACAAGGTATTTATGTAACAAAAACACTTGTACTCCCTTAACATTTTGAAATAAAACAAAAATAAATTACAAAAAAAAGAAAAGTGAGTCAATTCTCTATAAGGAATTATCATTAATGATAACAATGGAGCTTTTCTTGTGTTAGGGCTAGGTTCCAGAGGGATATTTCTAATATCATGTTATTGCTTTTAATTTTGAAGCAGGGAGTAGTAAGGTGGAGGAAGGTTAAAGAGGATTGTGCCTTAAATTGGTGAGAACACCCTGAAAGTATCTTAAATCCAGACAAACCGTAAGTATTATAGTTGAGCAGATAAGACAGTCCAGCCATTAGCAAGGAAAAATGGCAGACATTTGTGTCCTATTATTCAAATTCTCTAAAGCTGATTTTTCAAAGAGAAGATCTATGGTTTTAAGAGATGTTCTGCGGTAGGCTTATACCTTACTGTTAAAGTAATTATTTGAAACACATCTGAACAATTCAGTAGGTGAAACAGTAATTATACCTATTTTGTACACAGGTCTAAAGTTGTTTTAATTCTTACTCTGAATGTCTTTATAAACATTTATTTAAACTATCCAATTAATGTCTCACTTAGTTTTTTTTATTTTTTAATTTTTTTTATGTCACCATATTACAGAGGTACAAATGTTTAGGTTACATATATTGCCTTTGCCCCACCCGAGTCAAAGCTTAAAGTGTGTCCATCCCCCAGATGATACACACCACACCCATTAGGTGTGAATATACCCATCCCCTCTTCCTCCCTCCCATCTGCCCGACACCCAATGAATGTTACTACTATATGTGCACTTAAGTCATCAGGGAAATGCAAATCAAAACCACAATGAGATATCACTTATCTCCAGTGAGAATGGCCTTTATCAAAAAGTCCTAAAATAATAAATGTTGGTGTGTATGTGGAGATATAGGAACACTCACTTAATGTTTTCATAAAGCATTTACTTTTAGAAAAAGCAGTTGGTTTAGATGCCTCAGGTTCTGACTTCTCAGCCATCTAGAGAAATGATTGAATTGCCTGGCTATGTACGCAGGGAAGACACAACTCATCTAGTGACATCTCCCCAAAATGCAAACAAAACCATTACAGGAATAATCTATGTTCAAGACGATGTGCCTAGTCAATTTAATCCTATTTTAATGATTGGAAATGCCATGCTTCCTATAAAGCTACCATTTCCTGAATAAAATCATTTTAAATGTCAGGGGAAATCTGCCATGTTATAAAAATGACTATATTACGTGGGAAAAAGTCTCATCATTTTCAAACATGACAAAGAAAGCATGAGATTCTTCAAGGAGTTGACCCCAAGCCACTACTTTGAAGCAAAAAATTCAAATTACTTTAAAATATGAGTTAAGGGATCCAGGTCCCAAGTCTAATTTGGTATAAACCCAGTTTTTCTTTTAACTTTTATAAAGTAAGTTTATACATTACCTGGTAATTATTTTGGTTTTGTGATAATCTCAATTGGTTTGATGATGCAAAATGTGGAGAAAAATTACTCCGTGATGGATTTGTATTACTGTACATTGTACTTGATGCTGTATGTAATGAGGTCCGTGGTGTCAAATGGTAGTCTCTGTTTTGATAAAGTACATTGTCTGACAAATCTCTAATATTCACCATTTGTGAATTTGGCATATTTCTTCCTGGCCCAGGCAAGGTTGTACTTTGGTTCTCAGCTCGAAGGGAACTGCCACTTTCATAAAATCTTGAATAGCTTGGTATCTGTGCTCCCATTGATGCCAATTCTTCCTCTCTGGCATATTCATCCTCAGCATCTCCAGTCTCCATCGCAATGGACAAATAAGCTCCTTCTGCTGAGATAGGCTTCTGTGGGGCATTTCCTCCCAGAATTCTCTGGGGATAATCACTAACTGCCAATGAAAACACTTCACGGATCTCCAAATTTTGTGTTCTACAGTAAGGATCTCTAATAGTTGGCTTTTGCCCACATAAATTATGTGATGCTGGACTTGTGTATTCAGGCTTATATGCCCTTTGAATCCCAACTGGTTCAATTTTGCAAGGTCGGTGGCACACAGATGGCTTTTGAGGTACTGTCATTTCAGAAGCTTGCACTGAAGAGCTTCCATAGCTTTTCTTTGTGTGATTGAATACTGAGTTTCCAGCATTTAGCACACTTGTCTGTCTTGACAAAATAATTGTTTTTTCACCTAGGAGCAGGGAAGCATTTTTACAGTGTGCTACTTGTCTTTGGACAGGAATATGTAACTGAAATTCAGTATCACTTTTACTGGCTGTTTTCTGAATAGGGATTTTATGTGCTTCTGTAATTTGTGTATTTGTATGTTTGGTTGTTCCTTGCCTACTTGATGAACTGGCTGGACTGTATATGCCAGTTACAATGACATCATTATTGGCAGGTGTCCAAGAAGACTGTTGGCTTGAGGGTCGAGAAATATTAACCACATTTCTGACTGTGATGTCTGGAGCTGCCAAAGAGGTACCAGAAACAGTTCCTGTTGTTGCTGCTACTGATTCAGAATTCTTACTACTCATTTTTCTTCTCTTATTGCCAACCCACGTCTGGAAGAATAAAAAATGTTATTATGAAAATATCTTAACGATAAATTAAGAAAAAGTAATTTCTGAGTAATATATTATATTCTCATTTGTCATAGAACCAAAGCCTACACAAAGGTAAAAGAAAAAGATACGATAAAAGAAAAAGAAACTAAAGTATAAGGGCAAAAAGGACTCACGCTTAATAAATATCTAGGAACTTTGAGAACAGAGTATATTATTGATCCTCCTCAAAACCAATCCAATTAATATGTATCAAAACTTAAAAATGTTTATATTCTATAACCTAGTAAATACAGTTGTGGTAATTTATCCAAAAATAATCACAGATGTAGACAAAGTCATATGCAATGATGTTTACCATATATTTATTTATAATAGTGAAAAACTAGAAGTTTACTAAAGGTAGGCTATTTAATATTAGAAAATGCCCACAGTATTGTTAAACAAACATGCATTTGCAATATTAAGGTTCAGTGACTTCTATTATATAATTGTATCATAACAAAATATTCATTATTATAAACTGTATTGCAATATATCTCATACATGCATCTCTGTGCTATTGGTCTGTTAGAATGTAATACTAGAAGGGAAATTTCTAGGCTCTGATATTTTTAAAGTGACCTCCAATGTATGAGTTCTGGTTTCCTCACTCTCGCCAGAGTTTGCATTATCTCTTTGTAGTCATTACTAGTCCAGTAGCTAATAAAAGGTATATAATTGCTATTTTTATTTGGCTTTCTATGGTTACAATATGACTTTGATAGAATTGCTCATCCATTACCTTTACTCATTTTTATATTGGGGTGTTTGTCTTTTTAAATTGATTTGCAAGAGCAATTATCTACCAAAGATAATAACACTTTGTCAAAAGTTGCAAATATTTTTCAGCTTATCATTAATTTATGGTAGTTATATTATCCCTTATACTTTTTTATACTTACCAAATTTTACATAATATGTATTATTTTATAAACATAAAACAGTTATTAATAAAAATAATACCAGTGGTTGGCATTTAGGGTTTGATTACAAAATACACACTTTAATATAAGTAATTTATTATAATTATCTTAGTATTATTCCTCTGAGTCATGGTTCCTAAAGTATACAATTGCAATAAGAAATATTATGTTCCATAATGTGATTACTAAACTTTATTTATATACCATGATTTTTCCAAAATGCATACCATATTATAAGCTAACAAAACACATTAAACTATAAAATTAAACAAAACAAATGAATAAACAAAAACTTTTAAATGAATTAGTCTTGGACAAACATGGTGCAAGGTATATTTGTTTAACGTTTATATGAATGTGTTTTTGAAGGTCATATAAATTATCCAATATTCAGTGTTTATTGTAGAAAGTATATTTATACAGTGTATAATTATGCACAATATTAATGTTGGTGTAATACTGTAAATAAAAGCTTGCATGTACTGGATCCCCATTATGTGTTATTTATACATATTACTTCCTTTGCTAGATGTTTTTCTTTAATTGTATAAATGAACAAAACTGAGGTTCAGAAATAACAAGTAGCTTGTGAAAGGATATCCTGGTAGCAAGTGGCAGAGCGAAGATTCAAAGTCAATTCTACCTCACTTCAAAGCACATTCTTCTTCCACTACTGCTCATGTAGAGGTTGGAAACTCCTGAAATAGTCATCTCTATTGACCATTTTACTTTTATAATTATTATTTCTCCCATAAAGAGAATGCTCCAGAAACTGGGATGCTTCATTTTGCTTCACATGAGGCAGTGGAAATTTTAAATTCACTCTGATTTACTTTCATGAAACAACAGGAGTGATAACTACAAGTGGAAAGACATATGGATATAAATGTCACAGAAGACAGGGGAGAAAAATTGAACGGTTTAAAGTATATACTTGAGAAATATTTTTTTAAATGTAAAAAGGTGAATTTTACAAATATTCAAAATTAGTTGTGTATTATGGCTTTTCAAGGAAAAAAAAACACCTGTAGGAAGTATGATATATTTGTATGTAATTTTTACAAAAATATATAAGGGTCCCATTAAAAATAAACTTTTAATGGGAAAGCACAGTGAATTGGTAAAATTTGAATTCAAGAATTCCTACATTTGGATGGCAGTTCTGGGCCATTTTTACAAAAAAATAAACCCTTAACCTACTGTGTTTTCATCATACAATACCTACCTTAACTCAGGAAGTTTGAGTGATCTTAGTGCATTGCAAATTTGTGGCTTACTTACATAGTTTTATAGTTTATACATGTATATTATATATAGTCATCTAGTTTACTAGATATTTGTATTATGTACCCATTAAAAAGTAAAATGCTGTAGAATAATATCCATGTATATAGGAAACTCAGCTATCTAGAAACCTAGCAACCTCACTTGTCCAGAACACAGCCGAAACCGATGACACAAGATCCATGTACTTCACTAATAAGACAACCTCTAACTTTAAAACTCACTTTCTTTAACTTTATGCATAATTTAAACAAATTTGATATCCCAATCTACAACGAATTGGAAATAACAAAATAGAAGGGGCACTGTTGCTAGCGGTTGCTGTTGGCAAGTACCCTGATAGTACCCAAACTAAGAATGTTCGCTAACATTGCTCACTAAAAGGAAGAAAGGGAAAACATAACAAAACTGATGTGAGAAATCACTAAATAGCAGTCTAGGGTTCTTTAACAAGGGAGAAATTAACCCCATATACCTTACAAAGTTGTGAGCATTATTATTTCATAGCACAGTATAATAATTGATTTCCATAATGAAAACCCTGAGCCAAAAAGTAAGGGTTTAATTATTTTCCATTTTCTCAATTGAAGAAAAATAGGAAAGTATATAAGGAGGAAAGTATATAAGAAATGTTTCTTTTTAAAGTGTTGAAAATAAAGAAATTTCATTGCCTGAAGTTTCCTAATAACCGAATTAAATTTTACTAAAAGTTGTTCCATATAGGATTCAAAATTTAACAATGATTATAAGAATGTAAATGATTCTCCTTGTAAATGTCTCATTGATGAGAAAAAAATGAATCAAACAAAATCAATATGATGAGAATTGGGGGTTAGGAACTAAAAAAGCTATTCTACATAGAAAAAAAAAGAGAGAGAAAAAAAGTCATTTGAGTCATCAATTCTTGGTATCCATAAAATTCTCTTTCAGTTCTCTCAGAAATTCAATATCTCTAAACCTCTTTTTCTTTTCCTATACCTCCTTCCGTTTTCCTATTCCTTTACCCCACTACATTTATTGTTGCTTGGATGTTTTAACCTTTTAAATTTTCGTTACATTGGGATCAAGTTCTTAAAGTGGAACTTGAGTTATTTTAAGGAAAACACAACAAATAATACACTAAAATAATAAGGAAAGGTCTCTTTCAAGGAGAACATTCAGATCTAGCAAAATATCAGTGGCAGGGAAGTGAAGTTGTGGAATGATGAGTCTTCAAACAACTGTCTTTTCCTGAAACTGGAAAAGCTATCAAAACTGCATTGAGATTTGGATTAGGAAGACTGGATTTCTGTACAATTTATACTTTCCTGGAGTGGAGATAATGAATCTGTTTTATACAATTTCTTAAAACATAACATTTTACTTGTAATCTTACATTTTAAGAATTTATATCATTCATTCCCATTGTTTCTTTTAGATTTATACACCATCTGGAGCATAAATAGAAATCTCTGTATTTTGACACTCTCAATATTCAGGCACAATCAAGTAAGTTATGAGGGGAAGATTGCAATAACAAATTGGAAATATGAAAGATAATAGTCCACAATGCAGCTGCCTGGGAAAGCTTTTCATTTTAAGGTAACGGTAAGATAAAAGGAAGAAAAAGAAAAGAGGAAATTACTGCAGAAAAAACTGAGTTAGTACTTATAAAATACAAATATCATCAACTTGAAATAGTACACACTTTTTATTACTCTTTCTAAGACAATTAAATATTTTCCTGGGAAGTTTATTAAAGGTATTTCAAATAGGGCACTTAGAATTATCAATAGTAGATATTCTTACACAAATCTGAGCATGATGGTTGGTTTCAGCGAATAAGAAACAGATATCCTAGATATTTTCCCCTAGAATTGGTGTCATTTAATTTCCTATTTGAAAGTGAATATATCCTTTAGTCTTTTAGAAATGCATTTTCCAAAGAATTTTTTTTATCAAGAGAGTTTTACCTTTAGAGTCTTTTTAGGTACAAGCAACAGCAAACTAAACTTAAAAACACATGTCCTTTCTCTTTCCCAAATTAGCCTAACGAAAGCCAATGATGGGAAAGTTGCTAATCTTTGAATCACTAAGGTTTCACACCAAGAGGATTTGCAGCATGTTCAAACAGACATGAAAGGACCTATACATTCAATAAAATCTGTGACGAGTTCTGTTAGATCTGTCTTTTGCCTCCTCTCTATCACCTTCTCATTGCCTTTCACGAATGTGTGCAGTTCTTGATTTTTACAGCTGAATAACTATGATTGTCATAAAGAAAAATTTCCACCCTCGGGATTTCTTGTTCCTTTCTCACTAACCCACTAAAATGCATGCATTTTACTTAGAAGCAGAAAGTATTCATAAAACATACTAGGTTTTTCTAAAAACACAAAAATACTAAAGTTATAAATGCCTGATGAAATATTAAAATACAACAAAAATATGCTAAGTACACAGTATTCCCTCAGTCAATGCCTGTTTTATTGATCTCATTTTGGGAAGGTTATAGCTACATTAATTTGGAATTTAAAGAAAGCATAAGATCAACAATTAATCTTAAGGGTATTTATTAGTTTAAAGAACTGAGCTTTTTAAAGATATGTTTGTATCGCAAAGGTTTTAGTGTTTTCAAGGTAATTATAGAAATAAATACATACTAAATGATTAGCTTTATTTATCAAAAATTAGTATTGTGATGCCAGGGAAATTAAGCTGTTTATAATGTTACTGACTTCATACCCTGAATAGTTTTTCTCATATTAAGCAAATATCACTTGTAATAAAAAGCTATACATTCAAGTGTAAGACCTCAATACTTACCCTGACTACACTGAAGTCCAGTTTAGTCTCCTGCGCACACTGTAATATGAGCTGAAAGCAATTTTTACTTTGATTTGTCATTCCATTTTCATAATAACGCTGTAAAATCCTTTGTTGTTCTACAGTAAATACAGAACGTAGATTCATCTAAAAATAAAAGAAGATATCTGAAAATTGGAATAAAAATTTGGTATGTGTAGAATTTGTACACTTTTGTTTTTTGATACAATTTCAGTACTTCCAAGTTGCAAGATTTCTTTAACTGAATTAATCTCCAGTAATGGGCAATAATTTGTGTGCTAAAGGGAGACAGCTTCTCACTAAAAAAAATATGCATAATGCAAACACCTATTGAATTTGTTCAGAAAAGGTACCAAGTTTAAATACAAAAAAAAAAAATAGAAAAGGAAAAAGAGGAAAGCACTTATCTGGTTAGTGTCAGTGCATGGAGAAAAAAAGGTTCTTTCACTGAATAAATATTTATAACTAGTAAAGCCAGAGATTATGGTAGTCATACATGGTCAATTATCAACAGGGCCACTCACTGTTCTTTGTCAAGCAAGGCATCTGGCATATGTCTTACAGACAGAAGCTGTGCTCTGGAATAAAATGCTGCTTTTATTTTTCCTCTTTCTGAAATAAAGGGGTTCATTTTATATATTAAAACAAAATCTCTCTTTAAAGCTTCAAAATAAACAGGAAGGTTTAGTGAGTGTCAAAATTTCTTTGCTTTAGGAAATGCAATACTAAACAAAATAATTATTTTAATAATCATAGCGTGTAAATCAAAATTCAAAATCATGTGTTTTACTAAAAATAAACCATATAAAAACTATGTACCTTTTAATTAAATTGACACCATCAGAATTAGACAAGACGAGATAAGAAAAAAAAAAATTTTTAGTGTTTCCTGCCAAAAACCAAAATGTTTGATAATTAAGGAAAAACAGTTCTGTGAATATAAAGAAAAAAAGTCAAGTCAAACTCTATTTTAAAAAGGATGAATTCTAGTAGTGTACTTGATAAAGAACCCTTGAATTTGATTAAGGCAATTTCACGTTCTTGTTAAAAGTTGTCACACTGAAATTGTTAGTCCTAAAAGTTAACAGATAGAAAAAAACCTTTCCCAAGGCAAGTGTCTCTTTAAAATTAGGAAAACAGCAACCATGAAACACTATAAGCCAAAGCAAACAGAAAACTTTCTAGTATACTCTGTATGGAAACAAACAAGTACATTGACATGGAAATAAAAAAAATAACTTCTCTTTTTCTGAATACTTTTAAAAATAAAGCCATCTAATAAGGAAATGAAAGACAGTCCTACAGCCATCCACTGCAATTTGTGCACCTGACTTTCTTGACCACACAAGAATCTATTTCCCTATGCAATCTTAAGAGATCTCATAGGAGAAAATCAGTTGTGGGAGAGGCACCAGGAAAGATTAGGGTAGAGTTTCTCCCTAAAACATCAGAGACAAAGAACTGCACTAATTTTCTTTCTTTTTTTTAAATTTCAGAATATTGCAGGAGTACAAACACTTTGGGTACATACATTGCCTTTGCACCACCCAAGTCAGAGCTACAAGCCTGTCCATCCCCCAGAAAGTGTGCACCGCACCTATTAGGTGTGAATTTACCCATCCCCTCCTCACTCCTCCCACTTGCCCAATACCCGAAGAATGTTACTTCCATACATGCACATAAGTGTTGACCAATTAGTGCCAATTTAATGGTGAGTACATGTGGTGTTTGTTTTTCCATTTTTGTGATAATTCACATAGCAGAATGGGCTCCAGCTCCATCCAGGATAATAAAAGAGGTATTAGTTCACCATTGTTTTGTATGGCTGAGTAGTACTCCATGGTACACATATACCACATTTTATTAACCCACTCATGTACTGGTGGGCACTTAGGTTGATTCCACATCTTTGCAACTGTGAATTGTGCTGATATAGACATTCGAGTGCAGATATCTCTGAGAATCCAGATATAAAACCATCCTCACACAGCCATCAGATCTTTGACAAGGCAGACAAAAGCATACACTGGGGAAAAGAATCCCTATT